CCGAGCCTCAAGACCCAACCACCAGGGGTAGTCGTCGGGAAGTGATGCATCGCCGCGATAGCCAAGCGGAAGAGGGAGCGACTCCTTGAGCGCTTGGCGGTCGACTTTTCCCTCGAGGCGGTACCTTCGACAGCCGACTCCCACGCATCAAATGTAAAGTTGAAGTATTGAAGGGTGGCTGAGCACAGCTTCTCGAGGAAGGCAGGAGAGTTGCAGAACGCCCCGACAACCTCCCTACGATAAGCCTCAAGGAAGATGGAGCCCATCGGTGACTTGAGAAAAGACTTGCGTCCTTCCTCCTTCTCGATCTCCCTCTCGGCCATGTTGTCCTCGGTGGTCTTAGCAAGGTCGGCCCGCAGTTGGTTGACCTTGGAGAGGGCGGCGACCTTCTCAGATTTGAGTTTCGCGATGAGGGCATTGGCCGCCGCGAGGTCGTCATTCTTTTGCTCGAGTTCATGGAGCTGCTCCGTGCACTTCTTCTTATAAGCATGAACATTGGAGTTAGGCGAGCTAGACTCCTCGAGAAGAGTGGGCATTACGTACGCCATGAACTGAAAGGAAAGTACAGAAAAATCAGTAAGACAAAAACGAGACAAAAATGAGGATAAAGAAAATACACTAAGGGAAAAAGTCGAGAACACTCACTCGAGAGAAGCACAGGAGAGCACGGCCAGCACGGTCGTAAAGGTCGCGGTCGGCACGAGCCTTGTCAGCTGCAGGGATAACCGAGTCAAGGTACTTGGCGATCTCGTAAGGATGGGGGTGGTCCTAAAGACGAGAGGGCCGCTCGAGTGTAACCGTCTCGAGGCCACCAAGAGAGCGGGGGGTCTCCACTGATTTCCCCTTGTCGCGACTCTTCTGGCGTTTGAAGGAGTCGGGTACCAACACGAAATCGGCCTCATCCAGGGCCCTTTTTCGGGGTTTCAACCCTGAAGCTTTCGGAGGCACAACGGCAGAGGGAATAGTCACTTTTGATTTTTTAGCGACAGTCGTCTCGACCGCCACTCTCTTCGATCCAGAACCAGAGCCGATGTCGGCCCCGGCAGGGAGAGAGGGTTGCTTGGCGGGTTTCTCACTGCCCTTCGCTTTCTTGGTCTCAAAGCGTTGCAAAGCTTTAACTGAAAGACAAGGGAATATGTAAATAAGAAACACCACTAATGATTGTAAACGCGATGTAATTTACGAATAAAATAACATAAGCATAAAAACAGACAAACACATGGGCTTACGAGGATCAACGATGCGAGGGGCGTCCTCGTCAATCCACAAACGCACATGATTAAGAAGACCGCGATCTTAACCAACAAGCGGGCACTCCACGTGGATTTATTTAAGTCATCCAACATCTCCTGAAACTGGCTCGTCCTAGAACAAGGATTGTTTTGATTGACCTTCGAGGTAAGCCAGATGTTGGAGTAAGGGTACTGACCGTGAGCAGGACGGATGTAAAAGAATTTGGTCTTCCACTCGGTTACTTTCGAGGAAAGATCCTCGAGGAAGGAAACACCAAGACGACGACCTAGACAATGGGCGTCCTTTATGAAGCAATAACTATAACAATACAAGAGAAACTCGGACAAGAAGCGGCCAAGCTTTATTTTGAAAATTATGATAAAAGCTACCATAATGCAAATGGCGTTGGGGAAAAATTGATTTATGGGTACATCATACATGTTACTAATCGACAACAGTTCAGGTTGAATGGGAAAATGCAAACCAAACATAATCTGGTCGACGAAGAAAGTGAAACAGCCCTTAGGAGGGTGAGTAAAGACGTCGTTGGGACCTGGGGCGACCAACTCCCAATCGGAAGGCAAACCACTGAACGACCTAAATCCTTCGATTTGGGCTGCAGAAGCATAAAAAAATGGATTAA